GATCAACAGCATGAGCATCAATCTACGCAATTTGGATACGATGACGTGTCAAGAAGGTCCGCGAGACTGACCACCCGATCCCGTTAGTCGCCTCGTACGACAAGCATGGGTTACTAACCCGGATCTATACCAACTGGAGGTTTCAGTATTCATAAAGAAATTCTGTGTGTATCTACTTGGTACCAGGAGGTAGTATACAACGAGAGACTGTCTGCAGATTAAAACAGAGTTCTTTCAGGCCATTAAGTTGCATATTGTTTAATGCCGCGAATCAACCATGGCTGCATCTACTGCTTACTTCCACTACTACTCCTTCTGCCACTACTACCACTGCTAATTACAACTCTTGCTGCTGTTGTCAATATTACTATCAGCTATTACTACTGCTGTTACTGCTTTAATACTACAACTACAGCTTTAACGACCACTACTTTACTACTACTACTACTACTACTACTACTACTACTACTACTACTACCACTACTACAATATCAACCATCACCACCACAGCTATCGCCGTTCCTAACAGATCCACCAAAATATCATGTCTTGTTTTACTGATCCTACACTTTCTGAAAAGACTAGTGCAAAGTACAAAAGTGTTAAGTGAGTTCCAGTTTCTCTTCAGTCTTATCAGCTCCTCGGGAAAACTACCTTTGTATGAGCTCCACGTAACAACAATTACACAACGGTTGTGCAGTACGGTGTAGTACAGTACTTGAGTGTGACAACGCCATTCATCTAGCATGTGTTGGACAAACATTGTGACAATAGAGTCTGGATTGCGTTATAAACGTGTCATACCGAGCTGTCTTACCGTTGTGACAGATACAGGGCAAGTGTACTGTAACTCCTTCACAGAGCACCCTGGACACATAAACACATATAGTTAGTGGGTTTAGTTTTACGCCGCTTTTAGCAATATTCCAGCAATATCACGGCGGTGGAAACCAGAAATAGGCTTCACACATTGTACCCATGTGGGGAATCGAACCCGGGTCTTCGGCGTGACGAGCAAACGCTTTAACCACTAGGCTACCCCCACCCTGAATCAAACAGATGACCAGCTGACGATGACGCGGGTATGGGGTCCATATGCACTAGTTGTGAAGTGCATTAATAAGATTGTTATTATCTAAATAATCCCTAAAAATCCCTTTTCTAACTCGACATTACAGTGTTCGACTTTTTGTGACCTTGTGTTGTATCAAAGCTACTGCCACTACTACTACTACTACAAGTACTACTACTACTACTACTACACAGACCGCGCAATATAGCCAGCTATTGCTGAGTGCAACGTTAAACAACCAACTAACCACCACCACCACCACCACCACCACCACCACCTACTACTACCTACTACTACTACTACACTTGCGGCGGGAAGAGCAACTAAACATTCAAGGTGAGGTGAGGTGAAATTGGGTTTAACGTCGTGCTTGAGAATATTTCGCTCATATGACGGCGTGCATGCGTGTGTATGTGTATTAGTCTGTCTCACAGTCCCTGAACCACATTATTTTCCCCACTGCCAAGCCCTCTCTGCAGTGCTAAAGCCCTAAATAAAGCAAGTCTAGATTTCCCCAGGTTCAGAATCTCTGGTCAACCTAGGGCTCCTTTTCAATTTAAATGGGCTTGTTTGTTACTTTCAAAATTATATATATTCAGAGACTAAGCCTTAGTCTAGTATGTGTATGTGCGGCTGCTTGTACTAGCCCAGACTGAAGCTGGTTTTATAGTGCTAGCCCACTGAGATACCATGCCGCAGTGAAGTATGAGTACCCCCACTCAGACACATTATACTGACTCCGAGCCGACTAGTCCTTGTTGTACCCAATAATGCCGAGCGCCAGGCAGGGAACATACAAGTACCATATTTTAACGTATTTTGGTATGACGTGGTCGGGGATCGAACCCGCGACCTTACGCTCTCCCGGGCGGACGCTCTAACCACTACACCACGGAGGCGGTTAAACATTCAAGTGTTGTTGCGAGACCTGAATGGGACTAGTACAAGAACCTGTACTTTCCTGAGAAAGTGTCATCTCAACTGTAACATATGTTACGTTAGACAACTTCAAAACGGCTTTGTGTATTCAAGGCGCTGTGCATTCATGACCAAACATTAAGCCTATACTTTATTCGTCGCTCACATATTTTCAGCCGCGCTATTCAACTATTACAGTTTTATATTATGTACAACAATAATAGCCCCATTTTAAAATTTAAAAGAAAGAAAGAAAGAAACATACATGACATAATACTACATAACTGTTATCAAACCCTTCAACTGCTTTAAACACACAATGGCAGTCTTGTGCGTCGATCGATCTGGATCACTCCCAACTATTCCGGGGAAAGTATTCGACATCGGTTAGGTATTTGAATTTTTATGATGAAGAACTTAAAATAACCTACTAGGGATTTCCGTGATGTCATCGTATTTTCGTTTTCATTACACACATTTGGGGCTTCCCAGCTTCATTAAGACGCAGCTTAGATCGCCATAATTTATAGTGCCTTGTTTGTGCCACGAGTGATCGAGAGAGATTTAGTTGGGATTGAGCAGAAGCAGTCGGTTTTGGTGTGAGACTGCTTTTGAACAGTATTCCATTCATATAATAGCGAGTTAGCTTAATGTGGGAGGGAAGCCTGGAGGGACACAGATGTCAGCGTTTGTAAAATGGGTATGGTGCAGATAAACCTAGAAACACAGGGGGCGTGTCACGCTTAGAAACAGCGTTAGAAAGGCATATACCGGTAGGTATATAGACCCTACCCTAGTACTATATAAAAGGAAAGGGATGTAACGACGGAACCACCCCTCCTCAATCTAAGTTAGATTTCACCACATAAACTATTTTAAGGCCCCGTCGAGACCTACGGATCAAAAGCGAGATGATTTCCCTACAAAAGAGCTATAACTGGTCACAATCGGATCATTATTTCAAAAGTTATTCGCCACGACTCACCGAAAACAGCTACCTCCGCAAGCCAAACTCATGGATCACCCAAGACAGCGAAAACTCACCTTTTAAATTCGTTTATTAATTCCAGCCACGTTGACAGCACCTACGTAGGGCTAGATTCGATCGGAAACGGCATTCCACGGGTCTAAAACTTATTGCAACATCTACAAATCATTTCCTCGACAGTAAGCAGGCATTTTCTCCAAAAACATCGGCAATCATATTACACTTGTCGGCCATAGATGGCCTTGACATTTAAATGACCTGAGCAGTAATTTTTAAGAATAATTTTAGAGGTTAAATATTTATAAATATAATTTCCTAAAATGAATCAATATCGAATGCATTTTTACAACCTCTAAAACTATTCTTAACAATTTACTGTTCCGTACACCATCCAAAATAAAGGATTATTGCAAAGTTCATATTTCGCGCCCATTAGCAAACCGTCAAAATCTTACAGTATATTATATTTTCCACCAATCGGATGGCCCAATTTCGTTTCTGCAGATCTGCTCAGATCACTTGAATGTCAAGGCCATCTATGGCCGACAAGTGTGTATGATTGCCAATGGTTTTGGAGAAAATGCCTTTGATCGCTTTTGATCCGTAGGCCTCGATAGTTTATGTGGTGAAATCTAACTTAGATTGAGGGAGGGGTGGTTCCGTCGTTACATCCCTTTCCTTTTATATAGTACTAGGGTAGGGTCTATATACCTAGAAATATAATCAGAGCTAACTGGGAATCGAACCCACAGTCATATTTTTTGGCTTGTCCAAGGGAGGCAACCCTTCAGAGTGACCCCCAATCAATAGCCCCGGCCATCCCGTGCCTCTCTTGTGTTATTACACACAAAGAGTGCGAAATATTGTTAAGTCTGTTCAGTGGTGTTTGTTTGTTTGTATTTTTAGCAGGCACTCAGCAATATACACATGCTAATAATCAACATAAACCCACCTTATAAATTTAAAATCAACATCAACCCACCTGATTAAAAGCTTATAAACAGATGAAAAATCAAAACTAAGAGGCTCTTTTTCGTACAGGGTATAGACAATACCTTTTGTCATAGAGACTGACACCAAATCCTTGTTTTAGTCAGAAAGGCTGTCAACAGATCCCCATATTAGTAATGGAGGCTGACATGTAATCTCAATTATCATACCAGAGTGAGTGAGTGAGTGTGAGTGAGTTGTTTTACGCTGCTTTCAACAATATTCCAGCTATATGGTGGCAATCTGTAAATAATCGAGTCTGGACCTTACAATCCAGTGATCAACAGCATGAGCATTGATCACGCAATTGGGATACAATGACGTGTGTCAACCAAGTCGGCGAGCCTGACCACCCAATCCCGTTAGTCGCCTCTTACGACAAGCAGGGGTTATTGAAGATCAGTTCTAACCCGGATCTTCACGGGTATCTCACACCATAGGCAGACACCCTATCTCACTTTTCAGTCAGAGAGGCTGACCCTAGAGTCCCATTTGTCACGGGCTATCATCCAATCCCCATTTCAGTCAGAGGTTGACCCTAGAGTCCCATTTGTCACTGGCTATCATCCAATCCCCATTTCAGTCAGAGGCTGACACTAGAGTCCCATTTGTCACGGGCTATCATCTAATCCCCATTTCAGTCACAGAGGCTGACACCCCTAATCCCCATTTTAATCAAAACGTCTGACATCCAATCCACATTCCAATAATCACGTTACTTAGTCATTATTTCATAGGTGTGTGGGTCTCTCCATCACATCAAAACAAGTATAACCCTGAAGAAATACAAGATCATTTCAACTAAAAACATGTATCTTTTCAGCTGACTAGCCCCTGACTTTGATCAAACCAGTGATTGATGTAATGAGCAACTCAATTCTCTGCAGGGTAAGATGTTCCCAATCAACCAAGTCACCACCAAACTCCTTCCATTGCAAGCCACAGACATCAGATAAATAACACAGATGACAATATGTTTTAGTTTTGTTTGCAGTCTTGCAAGTTTCTGATAAAAAGAAGAACAAATGCAAGTTTCAGTGAGTAAATGTATTTTCTCTAGATATCACAGACTGTACAATATGCCGGCCATATTGATATATACATGTTTTCTTACAGCTGGAGTTGTCAATTTCACTCAACATGATAGACATAGCAAAATACATGTCATACAATATACTGCCTTTGGACTTTAAAATATTGGACGGAAGAAAGTTAACAATATACTGACCAACAATATTACTAAAACATGTCAAAATTACATATGAGTTTGTTTTGTCCAATGAAAATACTAATCAAAGAAATAAACTTCTCAATGCTTGTAGTTATCCTAATGGTCAAATTTGGTAAAATAATATGCACCCTGCATAAAAACTTTACAACAAAACATTTCAGTTTCTTTAAAAACAGGCACATCTTTAAAATTGTTCTCTTAATATGACATTTATGAAATAAAACCGTTTTTACTTTGAAAGTTGATGCTTAGCTCCAGGCAATAAATAGATGGGCAGATGAGGATGCTAACATGCTAGGATGGAGCAGACACAAGTCCTGCTGGACCATGTCCAAGGGTCTGACCGCCGACTGTACTCTCTAGAGGCTTGAAGCCAAGTTCTTCTGTTGGAATGCCGAACTGTCGCAGCTTGGACTCGTAAGTCCTCAGGAGGTCGTTGTGAGCCTAATAGGAAAAGAATGTGTCATTACAAAGATTTAAATTAATTAAATTCATATCTATGAATATGCATTTTGTAAATTTGTAAGTAAAAGACAATCAATGTATGTAGGACGGTTGTTTTTCTCATAAAGATCTCAAGTTTATTTCTGCAGATTTACAGCAAAAGGGAGATAACTCATACAATACCCACACTGCAATTATTTTGTTGTATTGCATGTGAAAGTGAACTTGATCTAGGCCAGGAACAATAAGCCCTTAAGAGACCCATCAACTTCTGTTGTTATATAAGGAGTTTCAAACTCTTCCAAAGATGCAACTGTCAGATTTGTTGTTTGATATATACAGACGCTCTCAGCGATATTCAGGTTTGATCACATGGTCTGTATATATTTGAATTTGGACCAGACAGTCAGTACACTGACCACCTGATTCCGCCGGCTACCTCTTGCAACAAGCATGGGTTTTTGACCAATTCAAGGCTGGGTCTTCATGGGCCAAGAGCATATAATTGTATAAGAGCACATTAGCCTTCACTTTACCTTGCACACTCTGGCCAGTTCATACTGTAGATCCTTGATGGCACTGTTCTTGGAGTCAAGCACGTCCTGGAAATATCAACAAGAATATGAAACACTGGACATGCAGATCTTTTTCAATTTGAAAAATACACAAATTTCAGATTTGATTGTATGACAGCATGACTGTGGCAAATGATAAGATAGTATACAAATCAACAATTTAAAAACAAACAAAAACACTTATCGATCTTTGAACTTCATATATATCTTCATAAGGATTAAACTACTTCATCAAGTACCTATGCAAAAATGGAAACACTGTTTGGAAAAGAAGGAAATTTGCACAATGCCACTGCAATCACATAATTTTATTGAAAATATTATCAAACAAAATAGTAATAATAGTTCTATCATATATTTACTTTCAGAATACAAAATCAACTATAAAACTCCAAAGGTATAAATGTTGAGCATGACTAAGAAAAAAAGGGATTGACACCCATGAAACCACACTTTGAAAACACAAATGCTGTCTCAGTACGACATACCTCTAACTTTCGTGTGACAACGGTGAGCGCCGTGGGGTCAAGGTTAGATGCAGATAAGACTTCGTTCAGCTGGGCTTCCTTCTTCTCCAAGGTGTCGGCCAAGGCATTCAGCTTCTTCTCCAGAAGGAGATTCTTGAAGTTACTCTTCTGTTGAACCTCATGGATGGCTTTGACGAACTTGCGGTACAGATCATCTCTCTCCTCCTGTGTCTGCAACATCAGACAACAACGTAGACTTCCTCTCACAATCTCTAAACTAGTCACTAGGCATCCAACCCTTAGCATACAGTCACAAGCCAGACGAAAGATACCAGGCTAGCTATTCTCGAAACGTTCGTAGCCCTACGAACTTCGTAAGCCCATTCTTAACACATTGGCTACGATCAAAGTTAAGAAATGTTAGGGCTACGAACGTTTCGAGAATAAGGGCCCTGGTCATTTTTAATTGTTTTCTTAAATGATCACAGGAAGAAATAGTCATCAAAGATTCTGTAATTCAACTTGCAGATGTTCTTCACTTAGGCAAGCCAGATTGTAGGTTTGAATACTAGTTAGCCTTGATTAGGTTCTAGGTTTCTCAAAGTTTCTAGGTTTTACAAATGGAATTCACTAAAGTGGCACACATCTATGTTCTTCATTAATTCAGGTTTTCTTCCACATCAAGTTGATATGCCTTATTATACATAAAATACTCACAAAAGTGGTTTATCCAGACTCACTAAAACACCTATGGTCATGGACAAGTCCGGTTTTACAAAATATGGCATTTTATTGCACTTAAGAGTTAAGTATGTATTTTCTTTGGCTTTACCTTCTGGAATCTCTGTTCTAAGACTTCATGCTCCCATTTAAGTGCACGGAAATCATCCTCTGTCACTCGTAACCTGGCTTTGGTCATCTGCAGACAGAGATGTGTAGTTCATGATTAAAAGTAAACATGAATTAAACATGAAACAAACAACGAGTTTTACAATTAAACAATCATGATCTTATGACTCACATGGTTTCTGTTCAAAGGGACACAACTCCTACACAAATTACCTCCCCTTGATTATGTCACCTCCACAATCATAATGTTGGAAAAGGATATCTGTGAATCTTTATCCTTATAAAGGTATTGATACTGCAGCTTACATTCACAACAGAATGACATTCTAATACTGAATCTAAGAAGAGAAGGCAGTTACTTACTCCCATCCTGATAAACCAAAACAATATCCATTAGAATCCCACCAAGACTGAACCTAGAGAATCTACCCCACCTCTTTACCTCATGGATACAAGAATACTTACTCTGAGAGTTTCTTTATCCTTCTCATAGTTGGCCAGCTGTTTGCGGAGATCTTCCACTTCCTCACGAGCCTTCTGCAGTGGTTCTGTCAACCGCTTGTTCTCGGCGATCACCTCCGCCATCTGCTTCTCCATCCTCTCCTCTTTCTTCTTCATGTCCTCAACTTGTTCCTGCAAAATGCCACGCCAACTATCAGTCACAAGAATCAGTATTTTCAGACTTATTTAAACAACCAATGCTTTTCAGAGGTGGGTACAGGATTTTGAAAATGGTGTAGTGTACATAATACCCAAGACACAAAGTGACATGATCAAGGGCTTGCATAAGGTGCCTGGAATTAAAAATCCAGGTGGGCACCCCTGCCACCCCAATCTAGTTCTGTTAGTGTTTAATATCAAAAGAAAAATGGAAGGGAGAGCTTGGTTCTATCTATTTGTGCGTTCCAGGAACACTTGATAATAACATTTGGGGTAACAAGGCAACAAAATATGGACCCAAAGATTACCATGGTAACAAATATAACACAAAGTTCCAATAAAATCTTATGGTTACAATAGACTGGAACATTAATGTTGAATAACTCCCTGTCATAAATACCAGATTGTTGGCAAAAATATCCCACACCATTTCCACTGAAACCATGTCTCCACTTATCGCATAACATATACATTTTGTAGCTTTACATCTTCTTTCAGTCACTGATTTATACCATAGGAAAGTTGATTACCAGTAGTCTCCTGACAACCTACACCGTAGTGTTGGGAATTGGTTAAAATGTCCTAATTGATGATTGGTTCATTACCACCGATCAATCATCGAAAATAATTGGTTAGCGTAATTTATGAAATTTGTTAATGCATGAAAATATAAGGAAAAAACATGTACTTATTTTGGAGATTTTTTGGGCAAAATTTCACATCAATTAAAGGATAACTAGTATGTTAGGAACATAAATTTCTTGATGTCTTTAAAATAAATTCATTGATGACTTGGAACAAGCTTGTAGTGCCTATGAAAAGAAACAGACAAAACCAACCTTGTGAAAAATATTGTTGATGAAAACAAGTGTTCCAGAATTGTTTGTGTTCGATTATGAGAAAACATGATCGATTGCTTGGTCGTTTAGTCACTGCGACCAATCTTCGATTATTTCAATTAATCAAACCACCACTACTACACCGCATACAAAACTGATTCAGATGAACTTAGTAAAAATGTGACAACACCTACAATATTCTAAGGAAAATAAAAGATGCTAACTTGATGAAAACAACCTCATTTTAGGTTCCAGTCCTCAAGATGATAAATATCATTTTGGTTAAGACAGTAGAACTAGTGCCAGTTCTTATATGTTGTTTGGTCTTAATACTTAATGTTCTTTCCCTACCTTGAGTGTGTTGATGAGGGCAAGGTTGTTGAGTGTGATATCATTGTAATAGTTCTTGATATCACTGAAGGCCTTCTCATGATTCTTCATCAAGGTGTTGATCTGACCGTTCTTCCTCTCCTCGATCTCATGGATCTCTGTCTTCCTCCTCAGGTCCAGCTCATCTCGCAGTGCTCGCATCTTCTTCTCATACTTCGACTCGATTTCTCGTGCTTGGCGCTCAAAATCCCGCCTCAACTCTGTGATCTGCTCATCATTTTTCTGGGAGGAAAAAACAACATAGTCACAGAGATCTGTGTATTTCATAAGTTATACCGAAACACTTTAATTCATATTTTTCAATTTTGTAATATTTGGCAACACGATAACAAAACTTAAATTGTTCTGTGGTAGTAGACATGAGTTCATCAAACAACAATGTCTTTATCCAGGTTCAAAGTTCATTGTATTTGACCGAAGCGAAAACAACACAATATGTCTGATACTTGAAAGCATGAATATAATCTTCATTATATTGCAGTATGTAAACACTTATCATGCTTATCCTGGTGTGACACTGTCTAAAACGTGACGTATGTTGTAGATCCCTCCCTTAACCATTTTAAACCTACTCTTGCATAACAACCTGAGACATATTTTAGACATATTTTCAAGGGACACAGGTAGTGTAGGAGCAGAGTTACATGACTATCAGAGACGCTGTTGAATGATTTGTTCACAATCAACTGAATGAATATTGTTGGTGTGCAGTCAAGAAACACTTTCTTTCAGAACATGGAAACACAGTAGAAATATCATTTACTTCATTTAGTATTTCAACTATCAATTTCACATTTTATTAAAAATCATTACAATAAGATTGTATTATTCTGGAAAGAAACTCTTAACATCGTTTGAATGTTTCCAGGTGTGAAACGAATATTTACGTCACAGCTAACCTGCAATCCTCTCCTCCATGTTCTATTGGTCTCATCAAGAAATACCAGCAAAATACAGCATCTAGTACATGATATAGACCTCATTTCATATATAAGTTATATTATAACTACATCTTTCTGTGACAAGAACATCTTCTAACCTATATCAAAGACTAGTTTTCACCTTTGCCATTTCAAATCTACTCTCTGTGCTATAACAAACAGGCTCTGGGCCCTGATCAACAAAGCAATCGAAACTCAATGACAGTTACGATCACCTCGGCAATACAATAGGTTTGTGGAAATTTATCACACAGAGAAAACTATATCTGAAGACAACTCACCCTCTTCAGGTTCTTAATAACATCTTCATGAGCCATCTCTTGCTCTTTGAGTTCCACTTTGAGAGCACGGCGGTCCTTTCGGAGATCTTTCTCCTCGTACTGATGAGTGTCTTCGGCCAGCTTCAGAGACACTGCACTCTGTGCCTTCAGTTCTGAGATGTTGTTCTGATGCTCATACAACAAGTGCTTCACCTTTTGTTTGTACACCTGGAAATGAACAGCAGAACTTGCATGAATTTAAGTAGAACTATCATATTGGCCTCGTTATTGCCTCGAGTATATGAAATAAACACTTTTCATTTGAGAACCAATTGCTCTGAAAGTTACCTGTGATATTAAAATACATAAGCCTGGCGGGTGAATTACACATATTTTGCCCAAAACAATAAATATTTCTATCCTTCTTCAGACTGACAGTCATAGTAACTGACTAACTGCATCTCCAAGTAGGAATGTCATCTTTACTCAAACACAATAACTAATATATTCTCTATCCAAATATGTGATAATCTGAACTGATATACAAACATTTCATTATTATATACTAGTACTTAATCAATGCATTGGTATAAAACATGATAATTTGATTGGCTATATTGAAACCTCATTATTGTATTCCTTAACATTATATTGATGCATTTTGTGATAATTTGAGTTGATCTATTACATAAGGGAACTATGCACTTGTTGAGATCTATAACTAGCTTTTATCCCTTTACAATGCATTTATACTAGATATGGATTAAAAATATGGCCTTGATAATAAGCAACATTATGTGCCGTCACAATGATGAAAGTTTCATCAATGACTTATCAATCAAATTATTTAACACTACAAAGCTGCACACGGTGTTTATCATACCGTAGTGAGTGAGTATGGCTTTACTCCCCTTATACTTATAGTTTATAATTTATAGCAATATTCCAGCAATATCATGGCAGGGTACACCAGAAATGGGCTTCACACATTGTACCCACTTGGGGAATCGAACCCGGGTCTTTAGTGTTATGAGTGGACGCTTTAACTATTAGGCTATCCCATCGTCTCTTCTAATACCTTAATTTCCACTTGATGTCTCTCCTCTGCATCTTCCATCTCTCGATCCTTATTCCTGAGTTCAGCCTTCTTCTCTTCAAGCTGACGTTTTGTGATCTCCCAGAATGTGTTTACTTTGTCTCGCTCCAGCTGGAAGTAGTTCCTTTCCTCACGCTCTCGATCCAACTCATCTCACAGCCGCACTATGTGCTCTTCCAGCTATTATATTGTATCATAATATTGTATATAAAATTCCATTACAATCATAAACAAGCTATGAGTTTAAAGTTCCTTTCTTCAAGATGAAAGTGTACTAGAGATGTCATCACGGTCATTGCAACTTATACCTAAGAAAATACCTGGATCAAAGTTGAAAGTGTTGCCTATTATTCCAATTCAATTTAATGAAACTGATAATCATATCTCATCCATAGCACATCAAATATAGTTTTAGTTTCATCTATTCAGTAATCATATATAATCTAGCCTGCTATACATATTCTCATACAAAATGAATGAAAATTGAAATGTTTGAACACACACATATAGTTTCAGTTTTATGTATTCTGTAATCACTGACAATCTAGTCTGCTTTGCATTATCTCGCACAAAAAATCCATGTAGAAATGTTAGAATACACAAATAATGTACATTGTACTTGATGCAAGAGAATAAACAAACCTGCTCTTTTGTCATTTCCTCTGTTGAGATTCCATCGATGACGGTTGGGGTTTTTGCCTTGCCAGACTTCTTCCCCTTCTTGCCTTTCTTCCCACTCTTCTTCTTTTTGGGAGGCTAGAGAGAAAATAATACTGATTCCTAATTGAATGCTAAATCACTAAATATCCTAAAGAAATGAAACCATATATTTGACACAAACATGAAACAAAGAATTACAATCAAACAGCTGACAGTGTTTTGTATATTCAAAGGACACACATGTTTCACATCAAACAAGCTATCGCAATAAAGTGATTGTTCACAAGCAAAATCAATGTTCATACCATAATAAACAATAAGATGTCACGAAAATAGGAGACACGTTCCCCCCAGTTACTCTCAACTGTTTAAAAGAAATCAGTCAAAGCAGCCTATCGTCGCTACTACAACTATGCTAGTGCAGTTTGAACAGTCAAGTATGTTTTCTGCTATGATTTAAGGCCACAACCATCGATGAACCTACCATTTTGACGTTTGTGGGGAGGAAATAAAGTCAACACAACAATAGAGCTTCCTCCCGTTGTCCACAGCAACAAGAACCCGGATGTAAAGTCTCGCATGTATTCTCGCAAAACAGAATGCCCCTTTCATAAGAAACCAGACACATAACTATTATTGATATTTTATACTTTTAATAAATAGCAAATTTTTAAGTAAAGTATAAAATATCTTTTTTATTCCACGAATGCGCTATCTAGGGGACGTAACTCAGGACGAAACTAGTCCCGATCTTTGAGAGCGCGACCGCTGAAACACATTCGAGTATGCGGTAGTCAACAGAGCAAATCCAAGTCTATAACGAAGCTGATTCATCTGGAGGAATGTGAGTAAAATGTCTATTAATATAGCATCGTGGCTGATAATTTTTTCCGGATTGATTCATTTTGGGTTTTTTAAACTTGTTGAATCATAAGCATGATAACTACTGATTTACTTGACCTATCAACTTATTTGATAACTGATTTGAATGTTTATCATCAATATATGAGCGGCAAATCGTGAATCAAGCTGTCAAAATCATATCTGACCGTACCCACTACTTAAATTCGGAATACAACCTCCTCCCTTCAGGCCGCCGCTACAAAGTTCCAATTGTGAAAACTAAGAGAGCCCGTACATCCTTTATTCCAAGTACCATATCTCTCTTAAACAAATGTGAAGATACCTAAATCAAAGAATGTATGTAAATATGTTTGGTATTTCTCTAATGTGTCAGTAGCTCTGCTGATGTAACACAAATTCCTGAAAAGGCATTAAAGTATTATTCTATTCTATTCTATTCCTTAAACTTTGCAGATATATCATCATATATTTAGATATATATTTTTAAAACCTAAATCTATACTGAAATTGTCAAAGCAGTGCAATATGTACCGAAATTAAATGTGTCATTTGTGCCACATAAATGGGCGGCTTCATGGGTAGTTCATTTGCTTCTATTTTTATCCATGATCAAGCGACAACAAAAGTGACCACACAGCGGAAATGTTTCCAACTGGAGGCATGATGTAATGATGCATGGGTAGCGACGCACATTGGGACGACTGGCGCGCAAATGAACGGGTTTCCACAGAACTGGTGACTCCTTCAGGTAAATTTTTGATAACTTCAGAAAGTAACACTGTTTTACTTTAGACACTGATTAACTGATTATAAAGTGTAGATATATACATACAGTTTTCCTCCAAGCTTTGCTCCATGGCTGTACTGAAGGCTAAGTCCATGGGTGTTTACTGATTCTATTCTTTAAAGAGGCAAGTCTAGAAAGGACGCCAGTCTGTTAGAGGGTTATGTATGTTTTTATAAATTATCATTTAAACTATTAATTATTACCTTAGAGACTTGTGCAAGTCTATTTTCTCCCTAAACGCCCGCTTTAACTATGAACTGGGAGTTGAAAATCATAAGTTACTTGACCGACGGACACGTATATATTTCAACAATATTAATTTATATTATGTTATCGTTTAAAACAATTTTCACATAACATAGTATCGAAGATGATAATTAGTTTTTCGTCTCATCCACGCTTCTCTGTAGTAATTTTTAACTTTCAGCCCATCAAACTGAACGAGGGTACTAAAGTTTATCAAACATACCTTTTCTCAATTGTATTTAATCATTGAATTTAATTATTGAACACATGTACGTAAAGTTAGTAGGACTGGTTGGTTTTCAGTGGAGCTGGTAGGTCTTAAAAGGTATCAGCCCTGTGGTCTGGTACAAATTCGTAGAGAAATTTCATACACTTGTTTCCATTTCATTGAAAAAAGTGGGCTTGATAATTAAAATTATGTTTTATGTTTGATTTTATATGTTCATCTCATTTGTGGCAGTTTTCCTGTTAGTTCAATATTTTATATCGCTCGAAGAACAAACACGTTTCTCATGTTTTTGCTCAGTCAAGGGGAGATAAGTCAAGCTACACTCACAGTTATTGTTCTTGCGCACAAAGTTAGGCTTCACCTAGTTAAAATGTGATCGTATCCGGCAGTTTATGCGTACTATTTTTTTTTTTTTAAAAACAACCTATTGCTCACTGTATAAAGTCCGCGTATACAATGTTTATAATTAGAATATGTGATGAATACGTACGGCGATATGAATTGCACATAGCCTTTTTATCACAAATATACATGCCCTTTCTTTTGTGTTAAATGTACCATTCCAACTTCGTGAACCATGTTGCCGCTCCCACATCATCTAATAAGTGTCAACGATGAATGTAACAATCTTGCTAAGAAATAGACATGGTTCCTAGAGAATTTATAGAAGCGAATATTTAGGTTACTGGTTAGTTAACGGATTTCACAGATGTTAAAGAACCACTAAACTTTGTTTTTGTTACTCTTTTAACCATTACATATGAAAGATTTGTGGTTAGTCTTATGCGGAACACCAAATTTATTCTTTAAAAACGTGTGGTTAATTAATACCGAGCGATTAAAAGTGGCCAAAAAGTCGCCTGCTTCCCTCGCCCGCCAACGAAACCATTACTGACAGAGGTTACGTAACTCTGTCGCCAGAGCACTGCAGTGACGTCATATGAGGAACGATTTTCAGTTACTTGTATAGAGAATGTGTAGCACGCTCCATCATTTTGATGATTTTCGACATGAACGACGACATGACGAATCGTTGCTTTGTCGTCAATTGCTCCTAGGGGTCGGGCGATGGTGTCCCCATGCACAGATTTCCACCAGGACCCCGCAGTTCGTGCTAAATGGGTTATGTTTGTGAGTGCGAAGCGAGCGTTGTGGAAGCCTGAAACGATATCTTACTTGTGTTCAGATCGCTTCACGCAAGTTAAAGAATCAAAACTACTTACTAGTTGTAGTAAAATATGCATATGATTGATGACCATAAAGATTTTCTATGACACAACTTGTAACATAACGATTCTTCCTCGGGGAAGTGAGGTTGTGGTCGAAGCAACAATAATATTGTAAGTAGTATTATATTGATACCCACCTCGCTGCCACGAGAGAAATTGTTATGATATACGCTATGTCATGCAAAATCCTATTGGCCATCAATAAAATACATATTTTACTACCAGTAGAAAGTAGTTTTGATTTTAACTTCGGTGAAAACAAACCTAAATACCATTTATCCTCAGACTGGCGGATGTTCCCGACAGGAAGGTGCCGCCATTTTAAAAATAAAAATCTGTTAGAATTAATGAGATTATAGTTTGTTTTCATCAGAGTTAGAAAAATCAAGACTACTTTCTACTCGTAGTTAAATATGTATTGGAATCATAACCAAACGGATTTTGCATGACACAACTTATAACATAACGATTTCTTCCGCGGAAGCGAGGTGGGGTCGAAGTCACAATACTGCGCGATAAATTTCTTGCTACATTCCCATGGTTAATGTCCACTCACCAGTATGTAGATACTAGTCAATGTGCGTCTTTATATTTGGTCTTATAATCCTAATTAGTTTATTATCACACTTGTATGCATTTTGAAACTAAATAAAAAGCAGACGATCTGCTGATACTTATAGTGAATTTATAACAGAACTGTAATATCTAGACATTTTATAGTTTGCCAATGTGAATCATAATTCGCACACACACCCTAGTGCATGTTGTCTGTCTCATTACACTTCACGGCGAAAACAATGATTCTGTTGAATGCTACGACAAATGAATAAAAACAAAATGCAAATATTAAAATTAAAACAGATTAAAGTTATAGGAACAATATCAGGCCATTACCTTGTTCGAGGAATGTATCCATCAATATCCACAAAACTGTTCCAAATGATGTGTCTTTTAACAGTTTAATATACGAAAAAGTGATAAATCTTTTCAGGTATTGGTGTATAGTCTCATTGGTCACCCAAGATAGCACACCTGGCAACTAATTGCATAATGTCCGCCTTTCTTTAAAAACAGTAATTTAGTTAGCCAATAATGGGCAATCAATGAATGTATTGCCGGTTAATCCTTTGAAAGAAGGACGTTGTTTTTACGCAGACACCGACCCGACAGAGAGTGTATTCAGTATAGATTAGTAAATATACATACATAAACACTACCTTTTGACAATTCCGCTGTGTAAGATAAAAGTAATTAATCAATCAGCGTGTTATCGGTTAATCCTTTGATCGATGTTTATAATGTTGAATATTTACTCCAGACACAAGAAATGCCAAAAGGGAACCTTTGTCGGGTAATCTAAGTGTGTTACCACTAATTATACCTGTTATAAATTCATTAACTGACCATCAAGTGAACGATGACAAATAACATGTGTAGGTTTATACCACCTAACACGGGTTACAACAAGGGAGTATTAATTGCTGTATTGCATGTGAAAACTTATGGGCCGACACTGTTTTGAGAATACAAACAGATTTTTACATGACATGTTAAATATCGAGGTAAAAAAACACAGAAATGGGATCAATTTGGATCAGTCATTATACAAATAGGGCCTAACGACACCAATCGAATTTTGACAGAATCGTCTATGAAAACAAGTTGTAACTCGGAAACTAGGCAAAGCAGGAGACAAAATTAAATGACAGTAGATTGTGAGAACATATAGCTTTCATTTTTCCACAACAATTGTCACGATTTCAGGTTTATACAAGCCTGTAAACAAGATAATTTAACCCCTAAAATGTAGATGAATTCTGCATCGGCCCTCAAAGCTATTCCTCATATGACGTCACAGAGGCGCGCAGCTCTGATTGGTTGAAATTTCGTTCGCGGGTGAGAATTGTGCACTGTTGTCAAAAGGTCGATTTAAGTCAATTAAAGGTCGAAATGAGTAGTTTTAATGACGGGGTTTCATTTATAACGATGCCAGTTAGTGATTTATGTATTTGTACCCCCTAGGGTTTATGTGACCTTTAACTAGAATAAAGATGAGACGTTTCTATGAGCGAGTTTAGTTTTACGCCACACTCAGCAATATTCCAGCTGTATGGCGGCGGTCTGTAAATAATAGAGTCTGGACCAGACAATCCAGTGATCAATACGCATCGATCTACGCAACTGGGAAACGATGACATTTGTCAACCAAGTCAGCGAGACTGACCACCCGATCCCTTTAGTCACCTCTTACGACATCCATGGGTTGATGAAGACCAATTCTAACCCGGATCTTCACGGGTAACGTTTCGTTGTTATTTGCCTGCCATCAGTGACGAATTAAAATTCATGGCAAGTCAACACCTTGAAAAACCTCCAACCCTTTGTGTTTATTTTTAAAACAAACAAAAGAAACTCGTCTGACACTCCCTTTAAGCGGTATGTTCTAAACTGGAAGAACTTTATCTTGATCTGTAACAACACATATTGACCCCGTTTAACACATTTATTTTAAAAATGTACAAAACTGATACATTGTTTAAAACAATGTTCGAAAATTCATGTTCAAAATTTAAATTTGTGTTGCATTTTGTGTTTCTATTTGATTAAAGTATTTTAAGACACTTTTACATGTTATAATTAACGAGGATGCCCCTGTCGATACTGATTCAAGTTATTCAAATCAATCACTTTCTGTGCGCATTCGATCTGTATCGATCTCTAAGATATTGATTACAGGGATTTAATTACAACGTCTAGGCATGCAGGGATTTTAGCCACCAGGATACATACAGCGTCTCTAACACAGCTATAGAAATACTCCATGTTGTAACACGAGGGGACATGTTTGAATGTTTTCCGCTGAGTGTCAGATACAAAGGTTCTTTATGCTACGGCGGATGTGAGTAAATTTAATTTAATCTCTGACAAAATAAACAGTTCAGTGCTTTGTGGATACAGATTTGTCACCATTACTGTGAACACTTGCATTGTGCATTTATAATGTTAAACTGCGCAGTGGCAAAATCGGAAAATCCCTAGTTGTAAACATAAGAGCACGTGTTCTATGACAGGCGTTTTATATTAATGAATTGAAAGAAATCGCTGTTATCCTTAGAATAAAATCGTAATACCAACAATATTGATATTTTTGGAGATCATGAATTTTCATTGTCGCACTACCATATGTGGTACCTGTAAAGATCCGGGTTAGAATTGGCCTTCAGTAACCCATGCTTGTCGTAAGAGGTGACTAACGGGATCGGGTGGTCAGACTCGCTGATTTGGTTGACACATGTCATCGGTTCCCAATTGCAAAGATCGATGCTCATGATGTTGATCACTGGATTGTCTGGTCCAGACTCGATTATTTACAGACCGCCGCCGTACAGCTGGAATATTGCTGAGTGGTGCGTAAAACTAAACTCACTTACTCACTCACTACCATACATGGACATGACAATCATGTATCTTTGACGAAAAGGAAATAAAATTTTATGACGATAAGTATCTAAAAGTGTAAGCCATATATCTATCCGAATAACACATTAATCTGTGAGTTATGCTTTAACATTTATGTTTGTAAGAAACACTTGTGCCTCTCACTCATGGTACAGAATTAAAACTGCAGTTTTGTCAAAGGCTTTGAAATTCGAACGTTGAGTTTCATCATCGGTATCTACGTGACGAAGAACATTCAACCACGATGTGTGTATGTCACACTGTCACGGGTACATTATTCTTGATTTGGCCGACATTTTTCTGTACGTGACTGGGTAAGAGTTAAACAAGAATCGGAAAAAACCCTATGCTCCCATGCCTTAAGGTCGGATGGAACATGTTACTGAAACATTGATATAAGGCTTAGACAGGAAAAGTGAGTACTTAAGGTGTTACACCCATCAATATGTCGACGCTATTTATTCGGTCTGTAAATAATTGCATCAGGATCAGTCCTTGACTGATGTTATGGGATTGGTTTAGGTTGTTGATGCTATTATCCACGATGTGTGTATCTCACACTGTCACGGGTACATTATTCTTGATTTGTCCGACATTTTCCTGTAGGAGTTCAACAAGAACCTCACAAAGAGATACAGGCTGCTGCTATGCCTTAAGGCTGGATAGAACATTGCTGAACATTGCTTTGAGGCGTAGACTGGAAAAGTGAGTACCTAATGTGTTACACCCATCAATATGTCAACACTATTTATTCGGTCTGTAAATAATTACACCAGAACCAGTCCTTGACTGATGTTATGTTGTTGTTTTTTATGTTGTTGATTTTTATTATCTACGTGATCTGCCTCTCACCTCTAGCCCCAGACACTCACATTCTCGCTAGGTTACTTGAACCGTTTAACGGCTGGAAGTGTTCTTGGATATGAATTTTTGTTTGTGTGGGGTTTTTTTTCTTCTTTTTTGTTGTTTTCTTTTGCTTAACGACACACTCAGCAATATTCCATCTATATGGCGGCGATCTGTAAATATTCGAGTCTGGACCAGACAATCCAGGGATCAACATCATGAGCATCAATTTACGCAATTGGGGTACGATGACATGTGTCAAAAATGTTTCGGATTGTTTATTCCTTGGTTGTGTTATAATTATGTTTATTTTTTGGGTTGCATCTAAGCTTTAACAAGGTTCTTTTACGTAACGATTAGATTATTTACTATTTGTTGTTTGTGTACACAACCGAGATTAGACTACTCCTGCCTCGGGCATCCCGCTTCAAACTGCGCGAACCTATTCACTGCGCATGCGCTGTGAGCGCAGCGCAGCACAGCTGTTGAAACCACTTTTCACCCCAGCTGGGGTGAATTTAGTGAATGGTTTGAACTCCGATTTCTTGGGGGTGGGGGTGGGGGTGGGGTTTCATCGCGTTATTTTTCAATTTTTGATAATTTGTTGCTGTAAGTCCATACGAAAGGTATCAGAATCTTCAATTTTGTGTTTTGCGCTGCATGTAACCTTTAATTCGTCTGTTAAAGGGAGGCGGGATAGCCTAGTGGTTAAAGCGTTCGCTCGTCACGCCGAAGGCCCGGGTTCGACTCCCCATATGGGTACAATGTGTGAAGCCCATTTCTGGTGTCCCCCGCAATAATGCTGCTGGAATATTGCTAAAAGCGGAGTAAAACCATACTCACTCACTCACTCGTCTGATCACTGGATTGCCTAGTCTAGACTCGATTATTTACGGACCGCCGCCATATAGCTGGAATATTGCTGAGTGCGGCGTAAAACTAAACTCACTCACTCAAATATAGTTTTTCTGTTCTGATTGTGCATCAATGTTTCGTCATTAATTTCTGTACATGACATACAGGGGGGTCACTTACTTTTTACATAAATTTAGGGGAAGGGTGGTCATTCACATTGCAGATGCTTGTCCATAAAAAAAATCATCATATCACAACCCCACCCCCACCACCTATCCCTCATCAGCATTAGGTGATGTGTGCAAAATGAATGTTATCAAAACGAAACCTCACCGACAAACATGCGATTACGAAGCTCCTGAAGGGACATTTTCGTAACCCAAAATAAAAATAATAATTTCGTAATAACGACTTACAATCTCGTAATAACGACTTATAATCTCGTAATAACGCCTTCAAATCTCGTTATAACGACTTATAATCTCGTAATAACGACTTATAATCTCGTAATAACGATTTTTTAGATCTCGTTATAACGACTTTTAAATCTCGTTAAAAAAGTTTGGTGGCCTTCATCTACTTCTGAATTGGGTCTTCTGCACGGACTGCTTGAACATAGAGCTCATGGTTTGGAACGACTTGATGAGCATCTGGTCTTATCCTGCGTAGCATCCCTGCTTGCCTTTCTGATGCCTCCATGGTAGTCGCATCCCAAGGTTTGCGCAGCAGAGGCTTGGTGTATAAATCCAACCATTGTCAGGAAGAGAGGAGAGTATGGTTTTACGCTGCTTTTAGCAATATCCCAGCAATATCACGCGGGAGACACCAGAAATGGGCTTCACATATAGTCCCCATTTGGGTAATCGAACCCGGGTCTTCAGCGTGATGGGGGGATGCTTTAACCATTAGACTACCCCCACTGCCCATGAGTGAGTGAGTGGATGACAGCGAGTGTGTGAAAGTGTGGGTGGGCGAGTGAGTGACCCTAGTTGCCATAGCAGCCATATGACTTCAAGCGGTCAACATTTAAGCTGAAGTACCAGGTAAAACATGCGCAGTGACTGCTTGCTATAACTTGGCCATTGTGATAATGAAATAATATGGCCTCTTATACAGAGCACTAACCTTCACACCTAAATATACTCAGGATTTGCTAAAGTCAGTACACATAACTATACCGGTCTTTTATTAATCATGATGAGATACACGAGATCTACAAGTCGTTATAACGAGTTTTAAGTCGTTATTACGAGTGTTTGGAAAGTTGTTATAACGAGATCTAAAAGTCGTTATAACGAGATTTAAAAGTCGTTATTACGAGTGTTTGAAAAGTTGTTATAACGAGATCTAAAAGTCGTTATAACGAGATTAAAAGTCGTTATTACGAATGTCTGGAAAGTTGTTATAACGAGATCTAAAAGTCGTTATAACGAGATTTAAAAGTCGTTATTACGAGTGTTTGAAAAGTTGTTATAACGAGATCTAAAAGTCGTTATAACGAGATTAAAAAGTCGTTATTACGAATGTCTGGAAAGTTGTTATAACGAGATCTAAAAGTCGTTATAACGAGATTTAAAAGTCGTTATTGCGAGTGTTTGAAAAGTTGTTATAACGAGATCTAAAAGTCGTTATAACGAGTTTTAAAGTCGTTATTGCGAGTGTTTGAAAAGTTGTTATAACGAGATCTAAAAGTCGATATAACGAGATTAAAAAGTCGTTATTACGAGTGTTTGGAAAGTTGTTATAACGAGATCTAAAAGTCGTTATAACGAGTTTTAAAGTCGTTATTACGAGATTATTTTTCTATTTTTGGTTACGCAAAATGTCCCTTCAGGAGCTTCGTATGCGATGTATCTGTGATCGATATATATTAAAACATGTTTCACTCAGATAACAATACAAAAGGGACAATGTTTCGGCCATTAAATGTCGACAGGGTGACCTGAGCATAGCGAAAGCACACGGGAAAGCCACTCGTCTTTGTTGATATTTGTTGGCTGAATCATTCACGGTTTTCCCGTGCGGTCTAAAAATAGAACCATGTCATTGCAAGGCACTCTGACTATCGCCTGCACAGGATCCGAGTGGGTGTGTGTGAGTATATCCTGTTTTTAAACCAATGCAAGTGATAAATCAATGCAACAGTGTTCGAGTAAATGTATATTTCTTTCGATATCCCCCAATTAACGCATGCGCGCAGGAGTTACTTTCTTTTGTCATCTGCGCCTGCCTCGGCTATTCAGATTGTTCACAGACGTCTTCGTCGACGAGAAAGTATGACGTAACATACATAGGTAATAGTACGTTTTTAGTGCATACTGTTTTATCCAAGAACATATCAATGTATGCAAATAATTCGTCAATAATATAAAAATTATAATCCTAGATAAACCATGTTTATAATGATCATAAGCCGGATGGGACTCAATTACCCCAACAAAAGTAGGGGAGACCGGGGTTAATTGTAACACTTTTTACTTAAGTTCATGTAATTCGATATTAGTCGACCGCTCACAAAGTCTATCGGTACTAACTAAAACATTGGCTTCTTGGTTTAAACCTCGGAGTCATTTAAAGTTCACGATCATGTCGTTACAAAGTTATTACGTATCAATTGCAATGACTGCAAGTGTTACAATTGACCCCGAGAATCTGTTTATTTTCCTAATGAAATCAAAATGAAATGTGGAAAGATGTTACCATGATCAATTGAGGTGGAAATAGATTAACATTAAACCTTTGTCACCATCGACATTTAAAATGTTTTTAGCTTAAAATTCTTGTTTTCGTATGCACAAAATATAATACAAAGACTAACACCAAAAACTTTCACCCGAGGGCTGATACTATCCACATAAGACTGAAAATGTTCTATTATGATGAAACTAGTAAAGAACTAACATAAAACCGACATCATAATTTGCTTCATTATCATAACATAAGGGAAAATTACATGGGGGCAATTGTAACACAGTGTTACAATTGCCCCCGATGCTAGTAGCCATGTTTCATGTCACGTCACATGTTAACAACTTTGGGCTTCTCAAATATTTCTACTTCAAAATAAGTCGTAATACCACAATTTTACACTTGAAAAGTTAATTTCATATCAAGCAACATTTACTGCATTAAGAACGTTTTATTACGTTTTGTGAAAAATTTACTTTCTTATGTAAAAAAGGATTTTTCATCTACTGTATCTCGCAATGAGCGAGCAGCTGAAAAACGCCCGGATGTGTACCGCAGGAAAGCAAAGGCAAATAACTCTACTCACCTACATTATGCTTGAGCGAAAACTTTTAGAGTAATCGCCCTTGTTACAATTGCCCCACGTTACAATTGACTCCGGTCTCCCCTACTAAATTCTGTATTTTACTACGAAAGTGTTATCCCAAATATAATGTATGTTACATGATGATCAGAAAGTGAACTACCCTGGTGGTTTTGTGTTGAAGTCGCACATATGTCACAATGTACAACCGGGCATTCGATACCTCGAAGTTCGACACTCGAAAGTTTGACTGAATGTGGAATGTGGATAGTTCTTTCACTGTGCATTCAGTGACAACATCACAGATCGTTTTGCGACTACCAAATAACTGTAGTTCTATTAGCCTCATGTGGACATAGAAGAGTTGTACGGGAAATCCGCACCATGAGACAAGCTAGCATGGGTTAAAAAGATTGCGAAACAAACGGACGGGACGAATCTTGTAGCCCCAGGGGAAGACAAACATAGGTTCCTGGCGACATATTGTAACCTGGTAGCCCCACGGAGAGACAAACAGGTTGCTGGGGACCTACTGTAACCTGGTAGCCCCACGGGAAGACAAACATAGGTTGCTGGGGACCTACTGTAACCTGGTAGCCCCACGGAGAGACACACATAGGTTGTTGGGGACCTACTGTAACCTGGTAGCCCCACGGAGAGACACACATAGGTTGTTGGGGACCTACTGTAACCTGGTAGCCCCACGGAGAGACTCACATAGGTTGTTGGGGACCTACTGTAACCTGGTAGCCCCACGGAGAGACACACATAGGTTGCTGGGGACCTACTGTAACCTGGTAGCCCCACGGAGAGACACACATAGGTTGCTGGGGACCTACTGTAACCTGGTAGCCCCACGGAGAGACAAACATAGGTTGCTGGGGACCTACTGTAACCTGGTAGCCCCACGGAGAGACAAACATAGGTTGCTGGGGACCTACTGTAACCTGGTAGCCCCACGGAGAGACAAACATAGGTTGCTGGGGACCTACTGTAACCTGGTAGCCCCACGGAGAGACAAACATAGGTTGTTGGGGACCTACTGTAACCTGGTAGCCCCACGGAGAGACAAACATAGGTTGCTGGGGACCTACTGTAACCTGGTAGCCCCACGGAGAGACAAACATAGGTTGTTGGGGACCTACTGTAACCTGGTAGCCCCACGGAGAGACAAACATAGGTTGTTGGGGACCTACTGTAACCTGGTAGCCCCACGGAGAGACAAACATAGGTTGTTGGGGACCTACTGTAACCTGGTAGCCCCACGGAGAGACAAACATAGGTTCCTGGGGACCTACTGTAACCTGGTAGCCCCACGGAGAGACACAAACATAGGTTGTTGGGGACCTACTGTAACCTGGTAGCCCCACGGAGAGACACACATAGGTTGTTGGGGGACCTACTGTAACCTGGTAGCCCCACGGAGAGACACATAGGTTGTTGGGGACCCTGTAACGGAGAGACAAACATAGGTTGTTGGGGACCTACTGTAACCTGGTAGCCCCACGGAGAGACAAACATAGGTTGTTGGGGACCTACTGTAACCTGGTAGCCCCACGGAGAGACAAACATAGGTTGCTGGGGACCTACTGTAACCTGGTAGCCCCACGGAGAGACACACATAGGTTGTTGGGGACCTACTGTAACCTGGTAGCCCCACGGAGAGACAGACAAACATAGGTTGTTGGGGACCTACTGTAACCTGGTAGCCCCACGGAGAGACACACATAGGTTGCTGGGGACCTACTGTAACCTGGTAGCCCCACGGAGAGACACACATAGGTTGTTGGGGACCTACTGTAACCTGGTAGCCCCACGGAGAGACAAACATAGGTTGCTGGGGACCTACTGTAACCTGGTAGCCCCACGGAGAGACACACATAGGTTGCTGGGGACCTACTGTAACCTGGTAGCCCCACGGAGGAGAGACAAACATAGGTTGTTGGGGACCTACTGTAACCTGGTAGCCCCACGGAGAGACAAACATAGGTTGCTGGGGACCTACTGTAACCTGGTAGCCCCACGGAGGGACACACATAGGTTGTTGGGGACCTACTGTAACCTGGTAGCCCCACGGAGAGACACACATAGGTTGTTGGGGACCTACTGTAACCTGGTAGCCCCACGGAGGGACAAACATAGGTTGCTGGGGACCTACTGTAACCTGGTAGCCCCACGGAGAGACACACATAGGTTGTTGGGGACCTACTGTAACCTGGTAGCCCCACGGAGAGACAAACATAGGTTGCTGGGGACCTACTGTAACCTGGTAGCCCCACGGAGAGACACACATAGGTTGCTGGGGACCTACTGTAACCTGGTAGCCCCACGGAGAGACAAACATAGGTTGCTGGGGACCTACTGTAACCTGGTAGCCCCACGGAGAGACAAACATAGGTTGCTGGGGACCTACTGTAACCTGGTAGCCCCACGGAGAGACAAACATAGGTTGTTGGGGACCTACTGTAACCTGGTAGCCCCACGGAGAGACAAACATAGGTTGCTGGGGACATACTGTAACCTGGTAGCCCCACGGAGAGACACACATAGGTTTTGGGGACCTACTGTAACCTGGTAGCCCCACGGAGGACACAGACATAGGTTGCTGGGGACCTACTGTAACCTGGTAGCCCCACGGAGGAACAAACATAGGTTGCTGGGGACCTACTGTAACCTGGGTAGCCCACGGAGACACACATAGGTTGTTGGGGACCTACTGTAACCTGGTAGCCCCACGGAGAGACAAACATAGGTTGCTGGGGACCTACTGTAACCTGGTAGCCCCACGGAGAGACAAACATAGGTTGCTGGGGACATACTGTAACCTGGTAGCCCCACGGAGAGACACACATAGGTTTTTGGGGACCTACTGTAACCTGGTAGCCCCACGGAGAGACAACATAGGTTGCTGGGGACCTACTGTAACCTGGTAGCCCCACGGAGAGACACACACATAGGTTGTTGGGGACCTACTGTAACCTGGTAGCCCCACGGAGAGACAAACATAGGTTGCTGGGGACCTACTGTAACCTGGTAGCCCCACGGAGAGACACACATAGGTTGTTGGGGACCTACTGTAACCTGGTAGCCCCACGGAGAGACAAACATAGGTTGTTGGGGACCTACTGTAACCTGGTAGCCCCACGGAGAGACAACATAGGTTGCTGGGGACCTACTGTAACCTGGTAGCCCCACGGAGAGACACACATAGGTTGTTGGGGACCTACTGTAACCTGGTAGCCCCACGGAGAGACACACATAGGTTGCTGGGGACCTACTGTAACCTGGTAGCCCCACGGAGAGACAAACATAGGTTGCTGGGGACCTACTGTAACCTGGTAGTAGCCCCACGGAGACACACATAGGTTGCTGGGGACCTACTGTAACCTGGTAGCCCCACGGAGGGACAAACATAGGTTGCTGGGGACCTACTGTAACCTGGTAGCCCCACGGAGAGACACACATAGGTTGCTGGGGACCTACTGTAACCTGGTAGCCCCACGGAGAGACACACATAGGTTGCTGAGGACCTACTGTAACCAACGGAGAGACACACATAGGTTGCTGGGGACCTACTGTAACCTGGTAGCCCCACGGAGAGACAAACATAGGTTGCTGGGGACCTACTGTAACCTGGTAGCCCCACGGAGAGACACAACATAGGTTGTTGGGGACCTACTGTAACCTGGTAGCCCACGGAGAGACACACATAGGTTGTTGGGGACCTACTGTAACCTGGTAGCCCCACGGAGAGACACACACATAGGTTGCTGGGGACCTACTGTAACCTGGTAGCCCCACGGAGAGACAAACATAGGTTGTT